GAGAAAAACTGGACTATGTATTATCATTTTACGTAAGATAAAGTAAACATGTGAAAGGAGGGAATAGAGGAAATTAGGCTTTTGGGTGACTCATTTAAGTCCAAAAATATATTAACAAGTATTGGTGAGGGTGTAGCAAAATTGGAACCCTCTTACACTGTTAGTGGGAAAGTAAAGTGGTTTTAGCCACTTTAGAAAATAATTTGTCAGTTGCTCAGAATGCTAAGCACAGAGTTGCCATTTGACCCAGCAATGCCACTCCTGTCTACTCAAGAAAATAAATGTGTATGTCCACACAAAGACTTGTACATAAATGTTCATAGAAGCAATATTCATAATAGCCAAAGAGTAGAAATAACATCACAAATTTCATCAACTGATGAATGGATAAGCAAGATGCAGTATATCTATACAAAGAAGTATTCTTCAGCAATAAAAAAAATAAAATGAAATACTGATATTTACTACAACAATGTGGATAAATCTCATAAACATACTGAGCAAAAGAAATCAACCACAAAAAATTATGTATTTTATGATCCCATTTATGTAAAATGTTCAGAATAGTCAAATCAATAGAGACAGAAAATGGCTTAGTGGTTGTCTAGGGCTGGAGAATGGGAAGGGAGAATGGGAGTGACTGAATGGATAGGAGGTTTCTTTGGAGGATGACAAAAATATTATGAATTACATTATGGTGATGGTTGCACAATTCTGTAAATATACTAAAAAATATTGTTCCCTTTAATTGTATTGTTTATAAATTTTATCTCAATCAACTGTTAAAAACAAAATGAGACCACCATGCAAACACCTGAGGGCAAAGTGTTTCCAGAGAGGGAACGACAAGTATGAGCAACTGAGCTGGGAATGAATTTGCTTTATTTATGGAACAGAGAGGATGTCAGTAAGGCTGAAGTTAGCTGAGGAAGGAGAAGGAAATAGAGGCCAGTTCTTCCTGGGTCTGTTAAGGCATGATTGAGAGTTTAGATTTTATTTTGAATGTAATGAGATGTCACTGGAAAGTTTGTAGGATAGTGACATGATGTGATGCATTCTAAGAATACTCTGGCTACCTTGTGGGTATCAGCTCTGGGGGCATGAAAGGATACAGTAAGACCCATCAGTAGCCATTGCAGTAATTTGGGTGAGACTCAGAAGTGCTGTAGATTTTTTTTTTCTCTTTTTTCTTCTTCATAAGCAAAAAGTGAGGTCACCTTATATCTAGTAGAACAGTTCTCAAGAATTGTCCCAGAACAAGACACTAGCCAAAATATTTGACCCACTGTTAATCTTTACTACCCTAAACAAGATATACCCTACTGGTAACAAAAATAATCTGTTAATAATGAAAAGTTTAAGCTACTCTTATAGAATTAGTATTTATAAAGAAAGTATTATGCTAATTTAGTATCTAAATTCACTTTTCCCTCATAAAGCACTGTCAAGGTAAAACATGGGCCACTTTTTGTATCTATGACAGCTCTTTCCACACTAATTCCCTAGCTCACAGCAACAAAATGGGTTTCCTTTATCATGAACTACATTCGTCAGTTCTAAATTTGGAATGGGAACAATAAGGCATCTGCAGAAAAACAATTTACATCAGACCCTTCTTCTTGCCCAAGGGGTTATTTGCTTTGTGCAAACTAAAGTGGGTGGCAGAGAATAAGCAGGCTTTGTTAGACCGTTACTCATGTAATGAGATTTGATGTCTGCTATTCAACACAATTTTCAATGGGCATTTTCCCCAGGACTAAATTGCTGCCTACAGACATTTTGATTATCCAATATAATTTAAAAGTAAAAAAAGACAAACTATCCCTTATTTTCTCTAACCCTTACTCTTTGAGTTTGTCAATTTATCTAATAGAGAGGAGGTTTGCATATCAGGGAACTGTGCTCAACCTTAGAATGTCTGACTGTCATCTGGGACTCCTCCAGCCTTCCTTCCATCCCGTGACAGGTCCCAAGGTATCTATCCAGATGCCCCAGATATTTCTATGTCAGAAGCCAATCAACCTTGAAAAGATGAGTGATTTGACACCTTGTCTTTCAGTCAGCCGCAGAGTCATATAAAGGCTGAGTGTCCCTTACCTGAAATACTTGAGACAAGAAGTATTTCAGATTTTTTGCTTGTTTGGATTTGAGAATATTTGTATTATGTCAGTTGAGCACCCCTAATGTGAAAATCTGAAACCCAAAGTCCTCCAATGAGCATTTCCTTTGACCATCATGTTGGTGCTCAAAAAGTTTGGGATTTTAGAGCATTTGGGATTTTAGACTTTCAAACTAGAGATGCTCAAACTGTACCACATGTTCACTTCTCTATAAAATTGAGCCATCCCCCCTGCCACCCCCGCACTGGTTACAGATCCTGTTAATCAATTCTAAATCTTCTCTTGTCTCAGTGTGATTTTCTTTCAGCTTCTACTTTTAATAATCCTTTACATCCCCTTGTGAAGTTTATTGTGCCCCTAATCTCTTTAACTGTTCATTCTTGTCCCAATTATAACTTGGATTCTAAAAAGGTCAAAGTAGGCATTAAAGTAGATTTACAGGTAACTTTAGAACTTTAAGCTCAAGTCCTGTGTCTAAACTGGTATGACACTATGTTACCTATAGAAACAAGAGGCAGAAAAATTCTGGGCAGAAGAGAGTGGGTTCCTGGCAAGGGCCCCACCCTCAAGCCTGGAACTGCAGCTTAAAGTGAGAACATACATTTCTGTTTTCCCACTTGAATGTTGCTTTTTCCAGAACAACCCATGGCTCACCTGTCTCCGATCCTGTGCTCATAAAAACCCCAGGATCCACTGGTAGTGGACAGAAGAAGCAGCTGGAGGTCAGAGACAATAACTGAACAGAAAGAAGCATCTTGACTTCAGAGGGACAGCTTGATGGGGTAGCTTTGAAGAGGAGTCTGGCTGGGTACAGTTGGATTCTGGGGAAAGATTATCTTTCATCTCCTTTTCCCACTGAGAGCCACTTTCATTGGCAATAAAATCCCCTGCGTTTGCCATCTCCAATTTGTTCATGTGACCTCATTCCTCCTGGACAGTGGACAAGAAGTCAAATGCAGATGCAAAAGGCTACCACACTGACCCTTCACTGAGCTGTCAACATTTAAGCCATTCATGGATGGCAAAACTAAAAAAGGACTGATTGTAACACTCCTTCTGGGGTTTGAGGGGTTGCAGGCACCCCCATAGATGCTGCCATGGGGCCAGCACAGACTTCGTTCCTGCTGGTACCCAAAAGCACTCACCCCAGGTCCTGTACCTGCTCACCTGTGTGCTCCTTCCCACAAGGGATTGAGCCCAGCAGGTTTGAGTGAGTGGAGTTTTCCCTGGCCGAGTACCTGTGTGCACTCCAGTTCTCACCTGTGAAGGGGCCAGGGAAATTTTCTGCTTCATTACCACCTGTTCCCAAGTCCCATTGCCCTTCACTGTGATCAGTCATTGCTTTATGCCATGGTAGTAGCCTGACAGTTCCACTAGCTCTCAGCTGCCAGTCACCTGCTGTGCATCGCCCACCCCACCGCACCCCTCCAAACTAGGCACACTGGAATGTCTGGCTCTCTCCTACACCATGCTCAGGCTAGGGGGAATCATGGGACCCTGTCTCAGGCCCTCTCCACCTAAGTCCACCATGCTGGCATTCCTGCTGTGCCCACTCCACATAGCCACAAGACACTTTGCTAGACAGTCAACCAGAATATCAGATGGAAAGCAAGCTGTAAATTTCCTGAGCTCTGGGATCATCAATCCTCTCAGGGAATCCCAGAGATTTAATGGAACACCAGAACCAGGGCACAAAGCCCACACTGAAATGAAATTAATTTTCCCTCCTCTCTCACCTAGTTTTCCCTACCCCTAGCCCCACAAGGGCTTTTGTACGTGTGTGATGGGAATGTCCCTTTTGGCATAACTTCCATTATTTCAGACTTGAAAGATTGATTCCTGATTTGTAAAAACCCCATTTGGGAATTTTCTAGAAAACTATTATTTTTCTTTCCTAAAGCCCAGTTTTTATGATTTTTGTCTTGATAGAGACTTTAAATGCTCAAAGCTCAACTATGACTTTTTTGTTCTCAGCACTGTCCATCTTCCCCTTTCCTGGGGCAAAAAGTCTCAGGCTCTTGGCCAAGTCCGAATGTCAGAAAAACTGCTGTAAAGGGAATAGGAAAGCTTTATAGTGAGGGTGATATGATTTGGCTCTGTGTCCATCCCCACCCAAATCTTATCTCAAATTATAATTCCCACATGTTCGCACATAGCTTACTCTATGTTACATTTTTTTTGTCTTAAACATACAGCAAAATGCACAAATCTTAAATAACATTCAGTGACTTTGCACAAAGGCATACACCTATGCAACTTAGACTATCAAGATATGGAAGATTGCAATCACCTTAGAAGTTCTCTCCTGTTCCTTCCCAGTCAGCCCCTGCCCCGCCCTACAAAGACAACCATTGTTCTGATGTTTTTTATCATCATACACTAGCTTTGTCTACTGTCATCTACAAACTGCTTTGAAATGCATGAAAAATAATATACTTTGATGGAAGGGTAGAAGGATGAATAGAGACATAGTTATGCAATAAAGCAAGTACATACAATGTCATGATAAGATCTGGGTATTAGGTATTTGACTGTTTCCTTTAAATGCTTTTAACTTTTCTATATGCTTGGAAATTTACAAAATAAAATGTTAAAATGAGAAAAGCAAAGCAAAATGCCAATAAAGAAATAAAACACTTCTGAAGAAGATGACAATCAGGGAATATATCTAGCTAGATATCAAGAAAAATATAAAGATATATAAATCTGTGCAATGTGTTAACATAGAGATAGAAAAATTGGACAACGGAACAAAATTTCTGGGTAGAAATAGACCTACACATATGCAGAAACTTTACTTATGACAGAAAGAGCACTGCAGATCAGTGCAGAAAGAAGGAACTTTTTAAGAAATGATACTTGCTCCCCCTCCCAGCCAAGATGTCTGACATGGAGGATGATTTCATGTGCGATGATGAGGAGGACTATGACCTGGAATACTCTGAAGATAGTAACTCCGAGCCAAATGTGGATTTGGAAAATCAGTACTATAATTCCAAAGTATTAAAAGAAGAAGACCCAAAAGCAGCATTAAGCAGTTTCCAAAAGGTTTTGGAACTTGAAGGTGAAAGAGGAGAATGGGGATTTAAAGCACTGAAACAAATGGTTAAGATTAACTTTATTCAAGTTGACAAACTTTCCAGAAATGATGAATAGATATAAACAGCTATTGACCTATATTCAGAGTGCTGTCACAAGAAATTATTCTGAAAAATTCATTAATTCTATTCTTGATTATATCTCTACTTCTAAACAGATGGATTTACTGCAGAAATTCTATGAAACAACTCTGGAAGTTTGAAAGATGCTAAGAATGATAGACTGTGGTTTAAGACAAACACAAAACTTGGAAAATTATATTTAGAACGAGAGGAGTATGGAAAACTTCAAAAAATTTTACACCAGTTATATCAGTCCTGCCAGACTGATGATGGAGAAGATGGTCTGAAAAAGGGTGCACAGTTATTAGAAATATATGCTTTGGAAATTCAGATGTACACAGCACAGAAAAATAACAAAAAATCTAAAGCACTCTATGAACAGTCACTTCACATCAAGTCTGCCATCCCTCATCCACTGATCATGGGAGTTATCAGAGAATGTGGTGGTAAAATGCACTTGAGAGAAGGTGAATTTGAAAAGGCACACACTAATTTTTTTGAAGCCTTCAAGAATTATGATGAATCTGGAAATCTGAGACTAACTACTTGCTTAAAATATTTGGTCTTAGCAAATATGCTTATGAAATCAGGAATAAATCCATTTGACTCACAGGAGGCAAAGCCGTACAAAAATGATCCAGAAATTTTAGCAATGACAAATTTAGTAAATGCCTATCAGAATAATGACATCACTGAATTTGAAAAGATTCTAAAAACAAATCACAGCAACATCATGGATGATCCTTTTATAAGAGAACACATTGAAGAGGTTTTGTGAAACATCAGAGCACAAGTGCTTATAAAATTAATTAAACCTTACACAAGAATACATATTCCTTTTATTTCTAAGGAATTAAACATAGATGTAGCGATGTGGAGAGCTTGCTGGTGCAGTGCATATTGGATAACACTATTCATGGCTGAATTGATCAAGTCAACCAGCTCCTTGAACTGGATCATCAGAAGAGGAGTGGTGCACGATATACTGCACTAGATCAATGGACCAACCAACTAAATTCTCTCAACCAGGCTGTAGTCAGTAAACTGGCTTAACAGAGAACAGATATCCTCAAGGCAACAGTACAGAGATGTAATCCTTAAAAGAACTGGGAATGGCAAAACTACTGTCAGTTGATGTGTCCTGAAAATTACTGGAGTTATGGCAGAAGTGCTTTTTTTGATCAACTGGTTTGTGTTTTGCTGCTGCATTTATCCCAAGAAAAACAGCTTTAATCTCCAGAAGAAAACCAAAATACCATGGAATTTATGCTGTATTGACATCTTGCCCTAAACATACAACATGATAGTAATTTGTCATGGGCAATATGACCAGAGAGAAGATTTTTGTCATGATTTTAAATACACTGACATGCTACTGTTGGTTAAATTTAAACATGTTTTACGTGCAGAAATTCTTTCACAAATAACCTGCAATAACTTGAAATGCATACCCTTTTGAACACTTCCTTTTCTCATGTATAAATTAAAATGTTTGCTGCATTTTGCAAAATGTCAATTCTCCAAAAATGTGTCTGTATATTTCTGTACCTGCAGTGTAAGTAAAGGTTCAGACGAAACCCCATAATTATAGTGGCATATTGTCACTTAGGTTTCAAGCAGCAAAATAAACAGTGCAGCTCAGAAATTGTAAAAAAAAAAAAAAAAGAAAGAAAGAAATGATACTTGTTCAATTAGTTGTCTATATGAAAAAATTAAATAATATTCTAACAGCATAATGCCAGATGACTTAAAGACTTAAATGAGAGGGCAAACCTGTGAAAGTTTTAGATGTGCTAGATGTAGGTGAATCATGTTCAGAATCAATTTCCACTTTCTTCTGATAGGTGTCATGAAAGATAAGAAATCTCAAAAATTAAACAAACAAAATCCCAATCTCCCAGCAGCTAAGGGTGTTGATACAAATTAGATCTCATCTTTTAGTATACTCACATGGAATTTAGAAGGTGGCAATAAGGCTTAAGGTTGCTACTTTGGGCTGTTTTCTGCATCAAGCAAGACCATGTAGAACCCCACTGGTTGCCCACCTGCCTGAGTAGTGGAGGGGCAGTTGCAATGGCTGGGCTGTGTTCCAGGCTTGGTTACCAGCTTCAGAGCTGTCAAGATGTTGTTGATTTGGTGGCCATGGGCAATTTACAATCATGGTTTCCTGATCCTGTATCATAGCTACAGTGGTACATCCTTGAATTCAATAGTTGCAGTCTTGGCCTTTTGATTCCCTTCTTCCAGATTTGTGCACAGGTGACTTCCGTGATTTCTGGGACTTATTGTGCACAGGTCGGTTCTGTGACTTCTGGCAGCTCAACCTAGAGCCCACTCCTAGAGGCTAATGTAGATTTCATCAGAATTAACTCCCTCTTTGAAGCCATCCAAGCATTAGTGTTGGTGGTGGCTTTGTGTTGTTGCTAATAGCTGGCTTGCCCCACCATCCCCCACTGGACTTCTCAGATTTTTCATCCTCCATGCCGCCGACATCCTGTATTAAATTTCTTTTTTCTCATATGCATAGCAGTTTCTGTTTCTCTGGCTGCTCCTTGACTGACACACACAATTATATATATATATATATATATATATATATATATATATATATATATATATCTCACTGGGAATGAATCTCAGAAACCTGAAGAAGAAAGACAATGGCAGCAGAATACCAACAATGTAATTGTGTCTGTATAAATTTAATCAACGTGCAAAAATAATACATCAGGGGCTAAAACGTGCTAAATTCATAAAGAAAAACTGTTAGACAATTTCAGAAATGAAAATATAATTTTTGACTATCACTGAATTAACCATTTGTAAAAGAGAAAGAAAAGAAATAGGCAAAATCTAAACCCACTAACAGCATCTACAGCAAAGCAGATGACAAGGTATCCATCTGAAGGTCTGGGTGTAATGTATCTCAGAATCTACCACATGAGACATGGAAGAAAGTATGTAACCATTAGCATCCATCTCTCAGAGTTGCCTTCTAAGATGTTAATGCCTTGTTAATACTGTGATGATTTCAGCTTTGGATATACTCCAGAGTGACTAAATAGGCCCCTGCAAATGCTCTACGTGGCAATAGCCGAGAAACCCAAGCTAGAAAGCAAGAAAGACATGGGTGCAACCAAGCCAGGGGTTGTCTGCAATGGTCAGGACAAAATGGTGGAACTAGACCATGTCAACCAAAGTCTAAGATGTACCGAAGGCAGTCCTAAATCCTGGCAATTCTTTTCAAGTGCACATGGAACATTCAGGAAATCTGTCCATATTTTACACCATAAAGAAAATCTCAATAGATTTCCAAGAATAGTAATAACAAAGAGCATTCTCTGATATTAGTGAAATAAAACTAGCAATGAATTAAAAATACTGATAATTACACACACATGCGTGTGCACGTGCACACGCACACACACACACACACACACACACACACAACTAACTCCTAGGTCCAAAAGGAAATACTAAAAAAAGTTGCAGAATTTCTTAAAAACAAAAAAATGAGGAAGGGGAGGGCCACGGGAGGAAGTTGCCAGTGGCAGACCACACATTTGCATTGCTGAGGACTGGACCCCGGGACAGCAAAGCAGCATTACATTGATAAGAACAAAAAATAAGAATTGAATTGATACAAGGGGACTTCTGTCAAGATGGCCAAATAGGAACAGCTCCAGAGCAGTTCCCAGTGAGAGCAACGGAGAAGGCGGGTGATCTATGCATTTCCGACCAAGGTACCAGGTTCATCTCAATGGGACTGGTTGGACAGTGGGTGTAGCCCAAGGAGGGCAAACTGAGGCAGGATGGGGCGCTGCCTCACCAGGGAAGTGCAGGGCTGGAGGGCCCTCCCTCCTACCCAACGGAAGCTATTCGGTACCTTTCTGGCCCCTCTGCAGCTCCGGTTAGGAGGCTGTGCTTCTTCCACAATTTTTGCAGTCCACAGATCAGGAGATCCCTCGATGCCTATATGCACTGCCGGTTTCCAGGGCAAATTTGGGCGACTGATTCAGCCGGCACTGGGAGTTCCCATGACAAATCTGAGCAACTGGTTTGACTGGTGCCTGGAGCGCCTGCCCGACAGAGTCGCACATAACCCTGAGAGAAAGAGGGGCTGAAGGTGGATAGCCAGGAGATCTGGCTCTGCGGGTCCAACCCCCACAAGGACCAACAAACTGAATTCCACAGGCTTGGGATTTTTACAGCCAGCACGGCAGTTTGAGCTGGACCCTGGATGGGGGAAAGGGCATCTGCCATTACTGAGGCAGCTGTAATCTTATATGTGTGAAGGAAAGCACAAAGAAGTTTAGACGGCAGCTGGGGGAGCCCGCAGCACCTCACAGTGACTAGACTCCCTCCTTGCTGGGCAGGGTATCTCTGAAAAAAGGCAGCAGCCTGTCAGGGACTTATAAATAAAGCCACACCTTCTCAGGACAGATCACCTGGGAAAAGAAGTGGTTGTGAGTTCCACTGCAGTAGAACTTAAACATCCCTGCCCAGTAGCACTGAAGGGAGCAACGGAGATCCCAACACAGCACTTGAGCTCTGACAAGGGACAGACTGCCTCCTCAAGTGGCTCCCTGACCCCTGTATATATCCAAAGAGTCACCCCATACAGGAGAGCTCTGGTTGACATCTGGCAGGTCCCCTTCTGGATGATACCACAGGAAGGAATAGGTAGCAATACTTGTTGTTCTGCAGCCTCCGAAGGTGATTCCCAGACAAGCAGGGTCTGGAGTGGACCTCCAGCAGTCCTGCAGAAGAGAAGCCTCTTAGAAGAAAAACTAAAAAATAGAAAGAAATAGCCTCAACATTAACAAAAAGGATGTCCACTCAGAGACCCCCTCTGAAAGTCACCAACTTCAAAGACCAAAGGTAGATAAATCTTTGAAGATGGGAAGAAACCAGCTCAAAAAGGATGAAAACACCAAAAACAAGAATGCCTCTCCTCCTCCAAAGGATCACAACTCCTCACCAGCAAGGGAACAAACTGGATGGAGAATGAGTTTGACAAATTGACAGAAGCAGGCTTCAGAAGGGGGGTGATAACAAACTTCTCTGAACTAAAGGAACATGTTCTAACCCACTGCAAAGAAACTAAGAACTTAAAAAATAGGTTAGACAAAATGCTAACTAGAATAACCAGCTTAGAGAAGAACATAAATGACTTGATGGAGCTGGAAAACACAGCTCTAGAACTTCACAAAGCATACAAAAGTTTCAATAGCCAAATCCATCAAGCAGAAGAAAGGATATCAGAGATTGAAGATCAACTCAATGAAATAAAATGAAAAAGCAAGATTAGAGAAAAAATAGTGAAAATAAATGAACAAAGCCTTCAAGAAATATGGGATTATGTGAAAAAACCTAATTTACTTTTGATCAGTGTACCTGAATGTGATAGGGAGAAAGAACCCAAGCTGGAAAACACTCTTCATGATATTATCCAGGAGAACTTCCCCAACCTAGCAAGGCAGGCCACCATTCAAATCCAGGAAATACAGAGAACACCACAAAGATATTCCTCAAGAAGAGCAACCCCAATGCACATAAAAGAAAACTTTAAACCAGCCTCACTTATGAGTATCCATGCAAAAACTTTAAACTATCAACCAATAGACTATAATGGCAAAATAAAAAAAAAAAACAAGGTGTCTTAGGTGATTCCTCTTCCCAGACATATGAAGTTTGTTAAATATTAGAAAGTCTTTGAACATAATTCATCATACTGATTAATCTAAGAAGAAAGATTATATTTTTATCTCCCCAGGTGCAAAAGTATTTGATAAGATTCAAAACTCATTCATGTAAGAAAAAACTCAGTAAACTATAAGAATTATTATATACTTTCCAAATGACTGAGTACAACAGCCAATGTAGTATCCTATGTATTAGAAAACTTCTAGGCTTTTCCTCTAAAGTCAGGAACAAGATAGAAATGCCAGCTATGGAATTTCCTCAACTATTAAGCACTGTCATGATATTGTATCAGATAATGCTCTCATAAAGAGAAAACCTAGAGATACACAAATTGAAAGGAAAGAGGTAGAACTATCTCTATTTATATATGAGATAATTTTATATGTGGGAAACCCAAGGAGTCAATGGAAAAACTGCTAAAAATAATAGAATCATTTGATAAAACAGCAGATTATGAAATGAATATGTAAAAATTAATAGCTTTTATATGTATAAATAAAAACTAGTTTGAAGATACAATAAGAGGCCCCACCTATAATAGCAAAGATAAAATAAACTCAAAAATATACACATAAACTTAATAAAAAATGTTCTAAAGCTCTATGAGAAAGACTAAAAAACCGTCTTGAAGAACAAAAAAGTAAATTTGAAGTTCATAAAGGGGTGACCTCAGCTTTTCCCTACATGATTCATAAACTTATAAATTTAATTGAATTCAAATAAGAACACCATTTATCTGGAGCTAAAATTCTTTAACAGAAATAAACAATCTTACATATTCTTCACATGTACTCCAAAACCTAAAATGCAAAATA